CGCTCTGCATTATCACGTGTATCGAGCACTATACGTTGCTAGTATTGCCAACTACATTTATTCATTATATGTATATATATATGTATATATAATTATATATAGGCCTATATAATTATATATACTATATTTATATATATAAATATATATATATATATACAATGTATATATATAATACGGTATATTATATATATATATATAATTAAATTAAGCTTTTCTACTGTTGACTTTCTGAGTAAGTTCGAGGTTTTCTAAAATAAATTGAAATTGAAAAATTTAAATATATATATGTATGAATTGAAGTATATTTCAATTTTTCAGATGAGCATTTTTACAGTATACATCATTTGTAATACTTATGCTTTATACACAATTTAAGGATTGAAACGCTCTTGTTCTTGTTGAAAAACTCCTTAGTGAGTTAATGTCAGTTTGTTATGCCGTATGTAATTTGTTTTTAATGTAATTTTATTGTTTCGATTGTCTATGTTTCACCTTACTGGAGGTTTTATGAATAAATTAAAATTAAATTGAAATTTATTATTGCTTTTAGTCCCTGTCATGACATGTATACACATGACATGACATGACATGACATGACATGACATGACATGTATACACTGCCAGGCTACCTTTGGGTTTCCAGTGGCAAACGCGTCCTCAAGTTTCCTTTTGTATTTTATTCACATCCTGTATCGCTTTCTTGATTTCAGGTATAATTGATATCACTCCCTCTTTATTTCCATTTCATTTTCCATTACATTGGATCTTCTAGCTAATAGACACCGAGGGCTCTATTAGTAAACCATTATCTAATATTAACCCACCCTTAAAAAATAAACTATAGGGCCTATTAAAGATGTATATCATGTATTTCCACAAACTTAAAAAAAAAAAAAAATACAAATGTCACAACCAAATAATATCAAACATTACAGAAGACAATATTTCAAACACTTCATATCAAATATGTTTGCTTGAAGCGATTTACTTGAAGCGATTGTTTCAACAGTGGCTGAGCTCGGAGTCTCAACCTTAAGGTCGTGGCCTGGAAACCCTCGCTGATCTTGTTTGTCTATATCTACACCGAAGTGTATATTCAGCATTTATATTGCCAAGTAATATATTGTAAGTTTATAAAAAAAAACTATTAAATGTAGGCCCTACTTGATATGTAAGTAACGAACATTTTTTTTATTTTATTTTCTTAAATTTCAGAAGAAAGCAGATGAAAGTGTTGACATGAAGGTTCTACTTTCCACAAGTGTATCGAATGTTATGTGCAAATTGATCTTCAACCAACGCTTCGACCACAAAGACAAAGAGTTTCTCATGATTTTGGACTTAATCAACAAAGCCTTCCTCAGTCAGGGAAGAGCATATGACTTCATCCCAATATTGCGTTTATTTCAAAGGAAAAAAATTGCTTCTGATCGGAAGATCTGGGAATCATTCTATGCATACATTGCGCACCAAATCAAAGTGCACCGGCAGACGTTCCAACAGGACGATACCCGCGATTTCATCGATGCAGCTATTATTCAAGAAGAAGTCGATCCTGTTAACTTCAATGACGAGGAACTAAAATTAAATGTAACTAACTTATTTATGGCAGGAACTGAAACAATATCTTCTACCTTATCCTGGGCAATGTTGTACATGGGGATAAACCAAGACATCCAAGAAAAGGTTTTTCTTGAAATAAAAAATGTAAGCCTACACCTGAACTTTAACATACATACGAAGGCGTATATATTATCACTATCATATATAAGTCGTTGAAACAAAAAATTATGACAACAAGGCATGTAGACTGTAGAACACTTCATTTATTTTCGAAAAGTCCTCTGGCCTTCATCAGCTTTACTGAATGTACAAGTTGGCTATTACAAGTTCTATATTGTACAATATAAACAATACAATAGTGGTGTAGACGGATTATAGGCCAATTATCTAATAGTTTATGCGGTAATATATAAAG